TGTGCACACGACGCCTCTGCCCTGCCCTGGCGCCCTCCCCCCAGGTCTGGGTGGTTCATCCATCCCTCTCCCTCAACCTCCTCTCTGTTCTGGTCAGGAATCCCAGCCCAGCCACTTGCTCTCCCAGCTGGGGTGCTGGCTTCCACGGCTTTCCTTCCCCCACCAGCACCCCCTGCCCTGCCTGCTTCAAAGCACAGCCTGTCTCAACTGCCAAGTCAAGTTGAGGGCCACCAAGGCCATGCCCACCGGTCCCCTCCATCTTCTGAGCCATCCTGGTCCAGGCACACGGTCCCAACCACCCCAATGGCCGCTTACACGGTGCTCCCGCTGATCTGGGGCTGGGCCAGACGTCACCTGAGCACAGTGCCCTGGGGCTCAGACAGCACCAGGGAGGTTGGGAGCAGGCTCATTAGACAAGACACCGATGCCTAGGGAGATGGGCACAGGTCCCAGCACGCCAGGCTGGTGACCTCATGACTTGGCGAGGCTGATCGATCTGCTAAGGACAGCCAGTTCTGGATCTGGGGCCACGTGCTGCCCCACACCAGCTACCGTGTCTCCCCGAGCCCCAAAGCTGTTCTCCTGGTGCGGACGCCCTGCTCTCCCTCAGGAGCCGACAGTCTGCCTCGTGGCTGCCCCTCCTCCGGGGTGAGCCCCAGAGACGCTGCCTGCCCTCCTCCGTACCAGTCCCTCACAATCGCAACACAGGCTCTGTCGCCTGTACCCTCAGCAAGCGTTTTAGACGTATTGACCCGGACTTGTCTACCCCAGGGGTCGGGGTCCCTCTCGAATCACCTGAGCCCTACCTGGGCAGAGGGTGGCCCAGTTACCTCCCCTCGGGTGGCTGCCCAGCCCAGGTTGACCCACAGAGGCAGCCTGGGCATCGAGCCTGGGCTCTCGACTTCCTGCTGATCCCAGTGTCTTTATCTTTCCCCAAAGCCTGGGTTACTCAGCAACAGCCCCCCCCCCCATGTGTCAGGTGGCCCAGGCTGTGCCCCTGGGGTCTTTCACCCGGCCACCCCTGCACACCATGGCTTCCCCGGCCAGCAGCTCTCAGCCCCGCCACCACCCACGACACCCTTGCTGGCCGGCCGGCCAACAGCAGGGCCAGAGTCAAAGCACCCTCTTTGGGCTCCCAGCCCCCTCGCAGCACCAGAAGCTTCAAGAAGCAGACCTGCCTGAAGTCCTGCGACCAAGGTGGGGGGGAAGGGGAGGGAGGAGGTGATGGGAGGCGGCCATTCAGAAACTGAAGGGCCTGAGTCATCCCAGGTGGGGTTGAGAGATCCAGCCAGCACTGCCCACACTGTCATGGCTGCCCCACCTTGTGTGGGGGGCAATACCCCTGATGAGGAGAGCTGGCATCTGGGACCACCCTCCACGACCCTCCCCGCAGCTGGGGGTTCAGCCCTGCTATCCCAGCATCTCCACGCCAGGCCCTGTGACATCAAAGCCATGCCTTATTACCTGCGTGCTGTCCCCCAGGGCAGCTCTGGCTGTTAAGCCGTCACCCCACTCACACAACATTCCCTGCTGTCCCCACCCCCACCCCAGCTGGAACAGAGCCAACTCTTTCCTCTTCTCCAGGCCAACCCCTCACTCCTCTGACCACCCCTGACCATCCCTCTCTGAGCTCCCCACAGTCCAGCTGTGTGGGGTGCTGGGCCCACTGGACCCCTGAGCACAGCATCTGGCTAGGGTAGGCATACCCCAGGATGCATGTGGCAGACAGCTGTGGCAGGAGACCGCTGAGCTAGGACACCCAGCAAACCTGCTAGAGGAGCTGGCGGGAGATGAGTGCCAAGCAAACCCTGGTGAGGAGAAGGTTCCAGAGAAGCCCTCCCAGTCAGGAGAAGGGCTGGCCCCGCTGAGGCTCAGCACAAGAAGGGAAGGAGGGAGCAGCGGGTCAGGCCTGCCTCCTGCTTCCTTCTCACTACTAGGGCCAAAGCCCCACAGCATACTCTGGCCGCTGACAGGGGCTGACAGCTCCCCTCTCCGTGCCTCAGTGTCCTCTTCTGGCAAACAGGCAGCGTCTCAGGGTTCAGTGGGGTGGTGAGAAGGCTCAGCATAGGAGCTTGGTGCAGGAGAGCTGACAGTGGGCATAGAAAGGAACAGCACAGGGAGGGAGGGGACAGGGTTGGGGGCCGGTTGGTAGGGCCAGTGGCTTATCTCTGAGACCCCAGGCACGGGATGAAGTCTGTGATAAGGTCGAAAGGTGAGGGTGATGTTCTCAGCAAGGAACTGGTAAAACCGCATGGAGAAAGAACAGGCACTTTGAGGAAAGTGAGGGTTTGGGAGGAGGGAACTGGGGCTGTCTAGGGAGATGGTTCTCAGACTGTGTGTAGAGGCTGAACAGGGTTCCACCGAGTTCATGTTTCCGAAGGTGACCTTACCTGGTCTTCGCAGATGTTAAGGACCTCGAGATGAGGTCACCTGGAGTTGGCACTGAGCCGATTCCGACCCATGACATCCCACGAGTGTCAGAGCAGACCTGAGCCCCACGGGGCTCTCAGTGTCTGAGTTTTTGGAAGGAGATCACCAGGCCTTTCTTGCAAGGAACCTGTGGTGGTGGTTTGTGTGTCAACTCAGCCGGGCCTGGGGAAGTGGCTGGGCAGCTGGATGTAGTTATTCCCCATGGTCAGATTGGTAATTAACTCCATGGTGGAATCTGTTGGAATAGCGGAGTAGCTGCTTTGGGGATGTGGTCTGTTTCCCGTATATAAGAAACAGCTTTGGGAATGGTCTCTAACTTATAGCACGCTTCAACCCTGCATGTAGTGTGTTGTTCAGCAGCCTACCATGCTCTGCCAACCCTGGGACTTTTAATGGACTTGAATTAGTGGCCTGCCATGTGGTTTGGTAACGCTGGGACCATGCCTTGTTACTTGTCAACCTTGGGCTTGTCAGTCTCAGCAGCCAGCAGCTGAGTGAATGAAAGCCTCCAGCTTCAGTGGGCCGGGAGCAGGAGGCAGAGCTGAAGCCCAAGGTTGAGGGGCTTTCACCCAGCCCCTAGAGCCTGGCACTTTGAACTCGAACTTAAAGCCTCCAAACTGTAAGAGAATAAACTCCTGTTTGTTCAACCATCCCATTGGTGGTCTACTCCCGTCAGAGAAGCACTAGGGAACCAGAACAGTGCCTCTGGGTGGACTCTTACCTCCAGCCTGTCAGTTAGCACAGGAACGCATGAACCATTTGCTCACCCCCAGGGGTTCCCCTGGAATTAAGGTGGGCCCTAAGTCCAATGACTAGTATCTTTGTAAGAGAAAGGAAGGGTGACAGGACACAGACAAACAGAAGACTCCATGTGAAGATAGACACAGACTGTAGTGATGTCTCTACAAGCCAGGGAATGCCAAGAACTGCCAACGTCAGCAAAGCTAGGAAAGAGGTGCCAAGTCCATTCTCCCCGCGAGCTCCCCGGTGTAGCCAACCCTGCCAACGCCTGGATTTCAGACCTCTTGCCTCCAGAACTATAAGAGAATAAATTTTTATTCTTTAAAGTCACCCCATTTGTGGTAATTTTTTATAGCAGCCTCAAGAAGTTAATACAAATTCTGGCAGTAGGAGTGCCTTGGGAACAGATACTTAAAATGTGGAAGTGGCTTTGGAATTGAGTGATGGGTAGATGCCTGAAGAAGTTTCAGCCACATGATAGGAAAAGCCTAGATTGCCTCAGAGAGCTTGTTGGTGCAAATACGGATGTCAAAGGTGTTTCTGTTGAGGTCTCAGATGGAAGTGAGGAGCATGTTACTGATAACTGGAAGAAAGGCAATCCTTGCTACAAAGTACAAGAAAACTGTGCTGAGATGCCTTCAACAGTCAGGTGGAAAGTAGAATTTGTAAGTCATGAAGTTGAGTATTGAGCTGAGCTTTCTACGCAAATTGCAGAAAGCACAGCCTTGTTTCTCCTGGCTGCTTACAGCAAGCCGCGAAAGAGGTAGACTGAGGAAGGAACCATAAATCACAAAGGAACCAGTACTTCGTGATGTGGGAAATTCTCAGCCTACTCAGGAAGAGTGCTCTGGAGAGAGAGCCAAGGTATGCATCCTGGATCCTCTCAGCCAGCACAATCGAGGAACAGAGATGGAGTTACCCAGGAAGATCTGTAGGGGAGCCTCTGGTCCAATAGCATGGAGCTGCAGGACATACACAGGAGACCCACACGGTTTCTGAGGGTGTTGTATCAGCAGAAACATTGTCAGCTTAGACTAAAGGGACAGAAATGGAACAAGTGGTAAAAGGCCATCAGACTTTCAAAATTCTACACATAAAAGTGGCTGTATAGAGGGCAGTAAAGACACGGCCCAGTGGGCAAAGACAGAGCTACCAAGGACGGTTCCCCGGCCTAGAAACCACGGGCCCACTGGGCAAAGACGAGCCACCAAGCATATAGGGCAAAGACAAGAGCACCTAGGATTCTTCCAGGGCCTTGAAACCTAAAGGACTTTGCCGTGATGGATCTGGAAGTTGCTGATCACCAGTGACCCCTTTATTCCTTCCGGTTTCTGGGGGAGCTCGGGCATGTCCCCGGCAGGGCATCATTGTTGGGGGTGGGGCGGGCTCATGGGAGGCCAGCTTCGAGCACACAGTAGTCAGGGAGGGAATCTGAGAGGCCATGCTGCAGATGCTTGAGCTGTGGGGCCACACCAAGGTGGTGCGTGGAGAGTACGGGAAGGCTCTGCACAGGAGTGTGCCTTGTGGGCCCAGCAGGGGAGAAGCGATGGAGCCATCCCCAGGTGCCTCTGCGTTCAGGCTGTGGAGATGGGACAAGGGCAGTGCCACAGGGGTCGGGGGGAGAGGCCCCAGCCCCGGGTCTGGGAGGTGGGTCCAGGTCCTGCCTGAACCAAGAGCACTTTGGAGAGGTCAGGAACAGAGTCCCCAGCTATGTCTTCCCCGACCATAGGCTGCAGCCCTCCTGGGTCACTCCAAGGTCCCTAACAGAGCCTCTTTTTTTGCTCACAGGGAGCAGACTTCTGGTGAATTCTGCAAACCAGTCAAGCATCATGAACGGCCACACTACTCCTCCTCTTGATGTCTTGGTCACTGACGGCACCAACGGCACCGAGGTGCCCAGAGTCTCCAAGACCGGAAAGGCCATGCCAGGAGCTGGCACCCCCTCTACACCGCTGGCCCAGGCGGCCCCGCTCGGCAAGGCCAGGAGCATTGCTGGTGTGTGTGTGGAGGCCTCTGGCCAGAACCTGAGCGTCTACACAGCCATGAAACAGGGCCTGCTGCCCTCGGGGCTCGGGCTGGCTCTGCTGGAGGCTCAGGCAGCCACCGGGGGTCTGGTGGACCCCAGCCAGGGCCAGCTGCTCCCTGTGTCTGAGGCCCTGCGCCAAGGGCTGGTCGGGCTGGAGCTGAAGGAGAAGCTGCTGACCGCCGAGCGCGCTGTCACTGGGTACCCAGACCCCTATGGGGGAGCAAAGCTGCCCCTGTTCCAGGCCATCGGGAAGGAGGTCGTGAACAGGGCGCTGGGGAGGAGCTGGCTGGAGGCCCAGCTGGCCACCGGGGGCCTGGTGGACCCCACGCGGGGTGTCCGTGTAGCCCCGGAACCCGCCTGCCAGCAGGGCCTCCTGGACCAGAAGACATGGCACAGCCTGGAGGAATGGGAGCCTGGGTCAGACTCTGCAGGCTTCTGCGACCCCAACACGCTGGAGAGGCTGCCCTACCGCGAGCTGCTGAGCAGGTGCGTGGAGGCCCCCGGCCCGGGGCTGGTGCTGCTGCCGCTGAAGACCGCCTTCCGCACCCTGAGTGGGGCCGTGGGCACAGCTGAACTGCTGGAGGTGGGGGTCTTGGACGAGGAGACGGCCCGCGGCCTGCGAGAAGGCCTGCTGGCTGTGCCGGATGTGAGCAGCCGTGCTGATGTGAAGCGTTACCTGGAGGGCACCGGAGGTGTGGGGGGGGTGGTCCTGCTGCCCGCCGGCCACAAGAAGAGCCTCAGCCAGGCCGCTGCCGAGCACCTGCTCCCGCTGGGCACCGTGTTCCCGCTGCTGGAGGCGCAGGCCGCCACCCGCACCCTGGTGGACCCGGCCACTGGCCGGCAGCTGTGGGTGGACGAGGCGGTCCGGGCCGGGCTGGTGGGGCCCAAGCTCCATGGGCAGCTACTGGTAGCAGAGCAGGCGGTAACTGGCTTCCATGATCCCTTCAGCACCTCACGTGTCCCCCTGTTCCAGGCCATGAAGAAGGGGCTGGTGGACAAGCTGCTAGCGCTGAGATTGCTGGATGCCCAGCTGGCCACGGGGGGCCTGATGTGCCCAGCCCGCAGGCTTCGACTGCCCCTGGAGGCTGCCCTGCGCTTTGGCTGCCTGGACGAGGAGACCCAGCAGCGTCTCTCGCAGACCACCGGCTTCTCAGACCCCAGCACCCAGGAGAGCCTCAGCTACGGGCAGCTGCTGACCCGCTGTGTCACTGACCCAGAGACAGGCCTCGCCTTCCTGCCTCTCATGGGGGCTGCCCAAGGGGACGAGCCCCAGGGGCTCCCATTCATTGAACACAGTACCCGGCAGGCCTTGAGTGCAGCCACGGCCACCGTCTCGGCAGGGAAGTTCCAGGGCCGGCCTGTGTCCCTCTGGGAGCTGCTCTTCTCCGAGGCGGTCCCGGCGGAGCAGAGGGCAGCGCTGGCCAAGAAGCACAAGGAGGGGACCTTGTCGACGGAGGCGCTGGCCACACAGCTGAAGGCTACCGTGGAACAGGCCGCGGCTGCCGCCAGGGTCACCTTCACGGGGCTGAGGGACGCTGTGACGCCAGGAGAGCTGTTGGAGTCCGAGATCATCGACCGGGATGTGTACGAGCAGCTGGAGCGTGGGCAGGCCACAGCACACGACGTGGGCCACCTGGACTCTGTGCAACGCTACCTGCAGGGCACCGGCAGCATCGCCGGCCTGCTGCTGCCCGGCTCCCAGGAACGGCTCAGCATCTGGGAGGCCCGCAGCAAGAGCCTGCTACGGCCCGGCACCGCTCTGGTGCTACTCGAGGCCCAGGCGGCCACCGGCTTCATCATCGACCCAAAGGAGAACAAGAGGTACTCCGTAGACGAGGCGCTGAGGGCCGGCGTCATCGGGCCTGACGTGTACGCCAAGCTGCTGTCGGCCGAGCGCGCGGTCACCGGCTACAAGGACCCCTACACGGGCCAGCAGATCTCCCTCTTCCAGGCCATGCAGAAGGACCTCATCGTGCGGGACCACGGCATCCGCCTGCTGGAGGCCCAGATCGCCACGGGCGGCGTCATCGACCCCGTGCACAGCCACCGCGTGCCCGTCGAGGTGGCCTACCAGCGCGGCTACTTCGACCGGGCCCTGAACCTGGTCCTGTCAGACCCCAGTGACGACACCAAAGGCTTCTTCGACCCCAACACGCACGAGAACCTGACCTACCTGCAGCTGCTGGAGCGTTGCGTGCGCGACCCCGACACCGGGCTCTGCCTCCTGCCGCTCAGCAGTGTGCAGCCCCAGCTGGTGGACAGTGCCACGCGCCAGGCCTTCCAGGGCCAGCTGCTGTCGGTGCAGTATGGCCGCTTCCGGGGCCAGAGAGTGTCTCTGTGGGAGCTCGTCAACTCTGAGTACATCTGTGAGGACCAGCGGCGGCAGCTGCTTCGAGAGTTCCGGCTGCGCAAGATGACCCTGGAACAGGTCACGTCCCTGCTGCAGACAGAATCCCAGCGGTGGGCAGAGGTCATGCTGCCCACACTGCGTGGCTGTGTCCCTGCCTATGAGCTTCTGGAGGCCGGCATCATCGACGAGGCCCTTCTGGGGCGCGTGTTGTCGGGGGCCGTGAGCCCCAAGGTGCTGCTCGAGGTGGACACTGTGCGCAGGTGTCTACGCGGCTCGGGCGCCTTGGGTGGCGTGCTGCTGCAGCCCTCCAACCGGCGCCTCAGTGTCTACCAGGCCATGCAGCAGAAGCTGCTGGGCCCAGGCATGGGCCTGGCACTGCTGGAGGCCCAGGCAGCCACCGGGGCCCTCCTGGACCCCCAGAGCCAGGAGGCCCTGACAGTGGATGAGGCTGTGCACAGGGGGCTGGTAGGGCCCGAGCTGTATAGCCAGCTGCGGTGGGTCGAACACGCCGTCACCGGCTTCAGAGACCCCTTCTCTGGGAAGCGAGTGTCCGTGTTCCAAGCTATGAAGAAGGGCCTGGTCCCCAGGGAGCAGGCTGCCCGCCTCCTAGAGGCCCAGGTGGCCACAGGGGGGATCATCGACCCTGCTGGTTGCTACCACCTCCCCATGCCTGTGGCCGCCAAGCGCGGCTGTGTTGACCGGGAGATGGAGAAGGTGCTGAGCGATGTCCCCCAGACCTTCCCCAGCCCGGATGGCCGGGGCCGCACCAGTTACAGCCAGCTCCTGGAGCAGTGTCCCCACGACGAGGCCTCTGGCCTGCTCTTCCTGCCGCTGCCGGACAGCACCCCCACTGTGCCCTCGGACGAGCAGCTCCAGGAGGCCCTGCAGGCCGCACAGAGCGACGAGGACGGCAAGTCACTCTGGGACTTGCTGGGCTCCAGCCACTTCACTGAGCAGCAGCGCCAGGGCTTCCTGGAGGACTTCCGGGTGGGCCGGCTCTCAGAGCAGGAGCTGCGGGCAACCCTACAGAGCTTGCTGCAGGCGGCGGAGCTGCGGGCACGTGCCCAGGCCTCGGTGCCGGGGCCGCGAGGCAAAGTGCCTGCTGTGTGGCTGCTGGACGCTGGCATCATCTCCCAGGACACCCTGGAGGCTCTGGCTGAGGGCCGGCAGTCGTCTGACGAGGTGGCCAGGCAGCCCGCCGTGAGGGACTGCCTGTGGGGCACGGGCTGTGTGGCTGGCGTGCTGCTGCAGCCCTCGGGGGCCAAGGCCAGCATCGCCCGTGCCATGCAGGATGGCCTCCTGCCTGTGGGCCTGGGGCAGAGGCTGCTGGAGGCCCAGGTGGCCTGTGGTACTCTGGTCAACCCTGTGACCAATCAGCGGCTGTCAGTGGAGGATGCGGTCAAGTTCGGCCTGGTGGGTGGGGAGCTGAGTGAGCAGCTCCGGCTGACTGAGAGGACCGTGGCCGGCTTCCCAGACCCCTGCTCGGGACGTGCCCTGTCACTGTGGCAGGCCGTGGAACAGGGACTCGTGCCCCGGGCCGAGGGCCTGCCCCTGCTGCAGGCACAGCTGGCCACAGGGGGCATCATGGACCCCATCTACCACACGCACCTGCCATTGCCCACTGCCTGCAGACTCGGGCTCCTCGACGAGGCCACGGGCCAGGCGCTGAGCTCAACCGATGACAGTGTGAAGTTCTTCTTCGATCCTGGCACCCAGGACAAGGTGACGTACCAGGAGCTCAGGGCACGCTGCGTCCAGGATGCTGCTACCAGCCTGTGGCTGCTGCCACTCTCCCAGGACACGGTGCTTGATGTGGACGAGCACACGGCAGTGGCCCTGCGTGCCATGAAGGTGCCCGTGGGTGTAGGTAGGTTCAAGGGGCAGGCCGTGTCGCTGTGGGACCTGCTGCGATCCGAGTATGTCACTGCCGAGCGGCGAAGAGAGCTGGTGGCGCTCTGCCAGTCTGGCCGGGCTGCCGCGCTGCGGGAGGTGGTCCACGCTGTCACCATGCTCATTGAGGTCGCAGAGAGGCAGCCTTCGCAGTCCATCTTCCGGGGGCTCCGGAAGCAGGTGTCGGCCCGTGACCTGTTCCGGTCCCAGCTGATCGACAAGAAGACGCTGGACGAGTTGACCCAGGGAAAGAGGACGGTGCAGGAGGTGACAGAGATGGCCAGCGTGCGGCAGTTCCTGGAGGGGGGGAACTTCATCGCCGGCGTGCGCATCCAGGCCACGGGAGAGACTATGAGCATCCCTGAGGCCCTGCGCCGGCACATCCTGAGGCCTGGCACCGCCCTGGTGCTGCTGGAGGCACAGGCCGCCACCGGCTTCGTCATTGACCCCGTGGAGAACAGGAAGCTGACGGTGGAGCAGGCATACTCGGCAGGGATGTTCGGCAAGGAAACCTACGAGAAGCTGCTGTCGGCCGAGCGCGC